TCTAGCAAGGCCTCTCCAATGAGGTCATCATCCGATGCTGCGTCCCAATCGTACTTATAGAGAGATTCGGTGGTCATTCACACAAGTGCCGAAGCGAGCGACTGCTAACGATGTGGTTACAACTTATATGATGTAAAACTCGCTGAGAAGAAAAGTTCCACTTCTGATCACGACATATCTTAGGTTGATCGTGGTAAGATTCAAAGTATGTCCGCTTGAGTACCACAACTTGATTGACCTATGCGATGCCCCCCAAGCCTTACATCTGAATCTTCATAGTTTGGCAGGGCACATTGACGACCATAGTAGAGCACTCGTGGTTCCATACAGGGGACAGCGTCTTCTTACATATCGGGGAGCGTCGTGATATCTGCTGATGGAGTGGTATGTGAAATACGTCAAATCTCGGTTGCCTACGTTGTCGCTCATGAGCTTGACCACACAGTAGGGATCGGAGCTTGTAGCCTTTCCAACTATATTAGAATCAGCGGCCTTCAGGCCCGAAGCCTCTATGATGGTCACGTTGAGGAGAGCGTACAAGTCCCAACCGAATTTCACTGCAGCAGAAGATCATCAAACAGAGCCAAGCGGAGAACACATTATCACGTGTGGGGTCATTCATATCCAGCAAGCCCCCTCCCTCGTTAGAATCAAAGCTACCAACTAGTCTTGTAAACTGTCCAACTTTGCCGATGCCAGCCCCTGCAATGCTAGCGGCCTCTCCGACCGCCCCAGTGGCAACCGACCCCACGGCCCCGACCGCCCCAGTGGCCGCCGACCCCACTGCCCCTACCGCTCCAGCTGTCTCTTTCACGGCCGACTTTCCAATGTGGCCAACAGCTGAAGAGAGGAAGAAGTATTGACCGATTGTAGAAGTACTGACCACCTTTGGCTGCATCACCAAGCTTTGAGAAAGGCGCCATGATGACGCTCCTTTTACCATCGGTTTCGCCCTTGGTCTGCGGGCTGGGAGTCTTCGTTGGAGTTATAGCGTCTCCAGTGCAACTATGGAAGGTCAACTGATCGTGATTTGAAGGAGGAGTGGTATTACGCTTTGCATTTCTTGGTACCAATGAATCTCCCACTGGCCAAACAGTCGCCACAGATTGTCTTCCCGCATACCTTACATACGTAGGTCCTGAGCACAGCAGCCGAGTTGATCGAGGTGTGGTACGACTTCGAATTGAAAAAAACCCGACATCGCCACTAAAGCCTATCTCCTGATGTAAATCGATTTCGAAGCGGATTTTAAAATTCCTTATCGCATCCACCTCGAGAGGAGGCCTTGAGCGGTATTGAGTTCGGATAAGTCATCCCCCGACCAGTACTACTTGTTCCCCTCAGCTCCACACAGCTCACATTTCGTTCCAGGTGTTACAGCCATTACAATGTTACGGAAAATTACAGTGCTTGGCAATAATCACGCGTGCACGGTTATCGATCACAATGGCGCGCGCGGTTGCAATTATACGTTTCCCTAAATCTTGCTGCGTAACTGCGCTGATTATGGGGTCTCTCCGCATTCATTATGGATACCGCCTTGTGTAATGTAGCTCATTATAGTGGTATGCCTGAACCCAGTTACTGTTGTATAGGAGTGTCAGTGTCCTCTCCTCGTCTTTCCCCCCTCAGGTACTACTACCTCCGTCGAACTCCTCTACACGTCCTGCCTTGTGTCGTAGGGCTGCTACCTGTGCTGGGTCTGTTAGTGGTCATGCTTGACCAGTGTAACCATTCATATGTCACTTCACCATGTTAACGATATGTTGTTTCCATGTCGAGACTTTGGTTCAACTAGTGTCCTCAGCTCCTCCCCAGAATCCCTCTCTAGGTCTGTGTGCTACCCTTTCCCCTTGGGTATTACCTCTAGAGAGGCCTCGTGCTTGTCTTGTGTTCTCCCTCTCAATGCGATATTCTGGACTCTTTATGTCTGTGCTCTTTTTCACTTTATCCTGTCAACGGTCATTCCCTCCAGTGGTCCTTTGTGATTAATCTCATCCTAGTACCGTGATCCACGAACATGTTAAGCACTGTTCCCTTTCACCACAGTTTCTCATTACCAATTGTGAGTGAGTTGTTGTGGTAGTCTCCTAGGAGAGGGGTGATAGGCCCATTGGGTGTCACCAGTAGGTATTGGTGTCTCATTAGCCCCAATAGTGTTGTGTGGGTAAGGGCATTACTACCACGACGAGATATTCATTGGGGCCACCTTTCGAACCAGGACCAACCCATTGCACACGAGTATCGGTTAGAGAGTGACTGTCGTATGGCTACTACTAGTACCAGAATCGCAGAGAATCGCATTCTCTTCTACTACTGCTTCCACTGAATGCTCTGGTCCGTTGGTCGAAGGGGAGTGCCACCTCATAGGCCCTGAGGGGTCTATTAGTGTTGGTGAACCCATCCAGAGGGGCAGTGGCATCCTCGATGTGGTGAAGTTCTTGTCGGTATCACGGCGGTCGTTGCAACACTTACATGTACTCTCGCAAGGGGCATGTGTGGCCATGATGGAGGTCTATAATGCATCTGTCATTTCTGATGATAATAGCGACAAATTGAAGGCCGAGGAGGCCCTGAAGGAGCTGTTGGACAAGTACGCTGAGTTGACTAAAGAAACCAGTGAAGGACCTGTGCAGACGTGGTGCTGATAGCTACGCCATCCTTACGCCGTTCTTACTGCAAATATTAGCAAAGGCCTGAGGGTTAAGTTTGTCACGGCCCTGAAACATCCTGCAGTAGCTTGTTGGTTGAGACACACGAATTAACAGACTTCGACTCCAAGACCTGTTGGAATCGTCTTGAATCCACCATCCCCAAGAGGTCCATTCATGCGTGGGTGAAGGATGCGGTCACTCCCGATGACGTCGCCGTGGTGGACCTGGATGCTCTCACTGATGCGGGGTCCCTGAGCGCTGCTCTAAAACTGTCCAGTCCATGGTATATCGGCGGAGAAAACCTCTCCAACTTGGAAAATTATGGGATATTCAACCCCGATACCGAATCTATGAGCCTGACCAATCTTCCGGTTAGGAGATGGGTCGGCAAGAATAAGATCAAAACTGGTGTTGTTCGAAATGCCGCTCAGAATGGATACGCCGGGCATTTCCATGGTTCGAATGTTGACCCTCGTACCTTCCTTGCCTTTCATGAGTAATAGCCTCACGTTTTGAATTAGTTACTGAGACATGAACTCTACGGAACGAGTGGACGTTTATCAGTTCGATGAGTCCATCCTTCGCCTCCTGTACGAGGATTTTCGTTGGGATCTCAGATGTCTTGACATGAAGTCATTTGTCCATTTTTTGAATGAAAGAGCAAACTCTCCCGGTTACATTGAATACTCGTCGGAGTCGAGTTGAATTGAGGTCGCGTCTAAATTGGTTAACCCTCCGAGTCACTTCCTCCCTGGGCGCCTCCAACTTGGGAGTCCCAAATCGCTCAAGTTGTGTGTTTCCGAGAACCAGGCTTCACCTTGCCTGACATTCAGAACAGAACCTCGGTCTAACTCGAGAAGTATCGGACCAGAGCTACATCTTGCAGACACTCAACGGATTGCACACTAGTAAGCAGATGACAAGCAATCGGGTGTATTATGGCTTATTAGAACGATCTCACCGAGCGCTCACTGAGGATGTTCATGTTGGGCGGATATCCATCGGGTGAGCTGAGACGTTCGCACTCAAATGCTCCGAAACCCTTCTCGGAACCAGATGAATTCAACATAAGTTATTGAATTGGAGAAAAGTATATCTTCAGTTCCAAAGCCCGGAAGTCGGTCTCCATAGCCGATGCATAAGTTATTTATTCTTCATAATTCAATAGTATTCATGCGAATGGTTGAGGGAAAGGTTCATATTCGTGATGAATATCACGCCAAGGCCATGGAGGCCGCGATAGTATTCCTCTCAATATAATTGCATCTGTCCCTTCATTGGGGTATTTCTGGTATTGGAATGTCTACCATACCATCCGGATATCTAATTGGTGAATGAAGGGGCCGCTATGCCTATGGACTATACCACTGACAAATCTGTTTGGTGGATAGGGGGCCACTATGCCTATGGACTATACCACTGACAAATCTGTTTGATGGATAGAGGGGCCACTATGCCTATGGACTATACCACTGACAAATCTGTTTGATGGATAGAGCGGCCACTATGCCTATGGACTATACCACTGACAAATCTGTTTGGTGGATAGAGGGGCCACTATGCCTATGGACTATACCACTGACAAATCTGTTTGATGGATGGAGGGGCCACTATGCCTATGGACTATACCACTGACAAATCTGTTTGATGGATAGAGGGGCCACTATGCCTATGGACTATACCACTGACAAATCTGTTTGATGGATAGAGGGGCCACTATTCCTATGGACTATACCACTGACAAATCTGTTTGGTGAATGGAGGGGCCGCTATGCCCATGCACTATACTACTGACTAATCTACTTGGTGAATGGAGGGGCCGCTATTTCCATGCACTATACTACTGACAAATCTACTCGGTAAATGGAGGGGCCGCTATGCCCGCGCACTATACTACTGATAAAGCTACTTGCTAAATGGAGGGGCCGCTATGCCCGCGCACTATACTACTGTTAAATCTACTTGGCAAATGGAGGGGCCGCTATGCCCGCGCACTATACTACTGACGAATCTACTTGGTAAATGGAGGGGCCGCTATGCCCACGCACTACACTACTGACAAATCTACTTGGTAAATGGAGGGGCCGCTATGCCCGCGCACTACACTACTGACAAATCTACTTGGTAAATGGAGGGGCCGCTATGCCCGTGGACTATACTACTGAAAAATCTACTTGGTGAATGGAGGGGCCGCTATTTCCATGCACTATACTACTGACAAATCGACTCGGTAAATGGAGGGGCCGCTATGCCCGTGGACTATACTACTGAAAAATCTACTTGGTGAATGGAGGGGCCGCTATTTCCATGCACTATACTACTGACAAATCTACTCGGTAAATGGAGGGGCCGCTATGCCCACGTACTACACTACTGACAAATCTACTTGGTAAATGGAGGGGCCGCTATGCCCGCGCACTATACTACTGATAAAGCTACTTGCTAAATGGAGGGGCCGCTATGCCCGCGCACTATACTACTGTTAAATCTTCTTGGCAAATGGAGGGGCCGCTATGCCCGCGCACTATACTACTGACGAATCTACTTGGTAAATGGAGGGGCCGCTATGCCCACGCACTACACTACTGACAAATCTACTTGGTAAATGGAGGGGCCGCTATGCCCGCGCACTACACTACTGACAAATCTACTTGGTAAATGGAGGGGCCGCTATGCCCACGCACTACACTACTGACGAAGCTATTTGGTGAATGGAGGGGCCGCTATGCCCGCGCACTATACTACTGACAAATCTACTTGGTGAATGGAGGGGCCGCTATGCCCGTGGACTATACTACTGAAAAATCTACTTGGTGAATGGAGGGGCCGCTATGTCCATGCACTATACTACTGACGAAGCTACTTGGTAAATGGAGGGGCCGCTATGCCCCCGCACTATACTACTGATAAATCTACTTGGTAAATGGAGGGGCCGCTATGCCCACGTACTACACTAGTGACAAATCTACTTGGTAAATGGAGGGGCCGCTATGCCCGCGCACTATACTACTGATAAATCTACTTGGTAAATGGAGGGGCCGCTATGCCCGCGCACTAAACTACTGACAAATCTACTTGGTAAATGGGGGGGGCACTATGCCCACGCGCTACACTACTGACAAATCTGTTTGGCGAATGGAGGGGCCGCTATGCCCATGCACTATACTACTGACTAATCTACTTGGTGAATGGAGGGGCCGCTATGCCCGTGGACTATACTACTGAAAAATCTACTTGGTGAATAGAGGGCCGCTATGTCCATGTACTATACTACTGACGAAGCTACTTGATAAATGGAGGGGCCGCTATGCCCGCGCACTATACTACTGTTAAATCTACTTGGCAAATGGAGGGGCTGCTATGCCCGCGTACTATACTACTGACGAAGCTATTTGGTGAATGGAGGGGCCGCTATGCCCGCGCACTATACTACTGACGAAGCTATTTGGTGAATGGAGGGGCCGCTATGCCCGCGCACTACACTACTGACGAAGCTATTTCGTGAATGGAGGGGCCGCTATGCCCGCGCACTATTCGCCCGCTCTGAGTAAAACTAAGTTCCCTGCTAGATCGACTATGCCACCATTGAGATATGTCGCACTCGTTCGATAGCGCAATCTACTCGACTGAATCACTTTTGCTCACTTCAATTTAATGATTGGCAAAGTTGTGTCAAGAGGCATAATCTTCTGGATCCGGGAGAGGTTTGCACGCATATACAACTGTCTCGTAGTTGCGGCACGCTGCAACATCGCGCGCACCGCAGGGATAGCCAATGCACTGAGGTCTTTAAGTATCTTGGGTAGTTATGATTCGGTTTGGCTACCGCTGACCGGTAATAGCTCTCACTTTCGCCTCTCCCTGCACGACCTACCCGCACTCATAGCACCGGTTTCCTCTTCCTCTCCTGCATTCCGCCAAGTATTGGATCACTGGCTGTTGTTACCATGACCAGTAATCTCTATAGGATGTTATATCTCGCTTCTTATATGCTATAGTGAAGCATCAGTCGAGCATTATGTCTCTTCAGCTGAGTCTCTCTGTCTGCACCACTGTGACCCTAGCATCCCCACTCATCTATTCAGCGTGAGTAACTGAGAACGATTATTCTTGCATTATTGATCTTTGTTGCGAACTTCAGGCATTAGCTATGCCTCTACACTGTTGCATGCAGATACAGAAGGTTTTTTCTGGGCCTTGGCTAAGTTGTAACTGGGAGTCAGCCATGGCATTCAACTCATTCTACGAGGGGGAAAACTTTGCGCTTACGTGCCGCACCGCACGCATGAACATCAACAATGGATAGTGATATCAAATAACCCACTACACAGAGATAGAAGATAAGATACAGCGGGGCGTAGTATTGTCGAACGGAATGGTAGATGGTACAACTCACTTTTTATACGATAGCGCGATTATATATTACGTACAGAGACAGTGTATTGCGTTGAGCTGCTAGCTCAAGAGTCATGCGCTATCATGCTAGCGTGTACTAGTAGCGGCATATGGTCGGTCAATAATGCAGTCATAACGACATTTTCTGATGTTTGTAGGGTGATCAATTTTCCGGATACAGCTTTCTTGTTGTTAGAGTCTCTGGTGAAAGATGTTGCATTATTAGTATAGCTGGAAGGAATGTTTGGGTCGAGTTTGCTCTCTTAGTTCTTGTCAACCACCATGTCTGGGAACAAATATCTCATGTTTAATCTAGCGGCAGTTGCAACAGCGGCCCCCTTTCTTGCCAAGCATCAGTCTGTGGGTGGTAAAGTGTCTATAACCATTGCTACTATCAACGATGTCTATTCAATGTATGCCCGTCCAATGTCTGGGAATGGTTATTACTTTGAGGGTACTCCTTCTGAGCAGTTTTATTCGATCTGTGAGAAGGATGCTGACACTTGTTATGGTACGGCTGGTGCGATGGGCATGCCCGAAGCTTCTGTTGATAAACTGTATAATATCGATCTATCAGCCACCGGTGGTAAGGTGATGACCAAGGAGGACAGTGGTTGTGTGGATCCTTCTAAGTTCGATGACATGGTTCGTGATCCTTCATCTGCATGGGGTAATACGGCCCAAATGGCAGGCACCTATAAGTACCTTGGTCTGACTGCCGATACTGATGAGTATATCAGCATGCTCCCCGGCGATTTCGTTGCTATGTCTTACCTCTCCTCCATCACGTATGGTCAGCATATGGTGGATATGATGAACGCTGGTGAGGTTGACTTGGTGGCATTTGGGAATCATGAATTCCAGTTCAAGAATAAGTGCCCTCCTGCAGACCTCGGTAACCATCCCGAGTATAACGATGTGTGTGTTGCATGGAATATGGCCACTGGCAACTTCCTCTACCTCAGCAATAACGTCTTTGAGGATGCTAAGAAGACCAAGCTATTCGGTTCTACTCTGAAGGTCCCTGATGAGATCTCATTTGTCAATGCCACCGTGCCAAAGAACAAGAAGGTCTTTAATGAGGAGACCAGCTACTACGCTCCCTCTGGTGACTACTGGTTCAAGATGATCAAGGGCAAGAAGGTTTGCTTCACTGGCACCACTGAGACTTCGGCCGCTAGTGATATTGCGGGGAAGAGTAACGTGTGGTTTTCCGATATGATGGAGTCCGCAGTCGAGCTGCTCGCAAGATGAATGAGATGGTTGCAACTTGGTTATCATCCTCACTCATCAGCGTGAGGGTTATGATGTCTCTTATGGAGAAGCTGTTGTGAAGAGGCATCAGATCGATGCTATCATTGGTGCC